TAGAAATCTAAGTCTGCATCAAAACAGATTTCACTGCCTGTTCCAGTCCAGTGCCTCCCCTCTCTCTGCAAAGCAGCCATGCGTTTTATCCATGTGCATTTCAATTGCATTTAAAGCTCCATGTTGTGTTGAGGCCAGTTGGAAAGTACAGTTGCCAGAAACCACACACAAACGGGAAATCTAGTGAGAGCAAGAAGGTGGTTTTCTCCACACAATGGAGTTCAAAGATGTGTCATCCATGCTATTTGGAGCAAAACCCAATAGCACCCTTACCACTGAGCACTCCCTCACCCCCTTGTACACGATGGAAGTTTATAACTATAGGATATGTTTTCTAAGCCTGTTTGAACTCGCTGCTCTTCCTATGCACACATATACCTTCCCCTTCCTGTGCACAGCTTTCAATCAGTAAGAGTGTCAAGGTGGGCGGAAGGAGGATGACAGGAATAGTAAAAGAGGGAAAATCAATTTCCAGAAAGCATATGGTAACAACAGAATATTTAATCAAATTAGCCTAGAAATTCCTTCCTATTTTCGGCACTCTTTGCAAGCCAGTTGCTTCACGGTATAAAATGAATTTCAATAAATGTCATATATTTAGTTAGATGGCTTATTTTTGAAATTTGCCGAAACAGGTCAACACACTCAGAATAGATCTTATTCTAAGACATGACGGATGGATATTGATATTGAATACAAGGATTGGCATTAGGTAAAAGGTTCTGAACTGAAGGAAAAGTCATTCCCTTAATACTCAACTAGGTATTTACTGAATACCTACCTACAATGTGAAAGAAGGAAAAAAAGATGAATATTTGGTATATATACATATGAATTTTACCATATATATGTTACAAAGATGAGGGATGTCAAAATATTTCCTTGGCATTGGTAAGGACTTCAACTGGGTACCATTGGAAGCAGGTCTCTGAAGGTACTAACAGTTTTCACATTGTGTTAGTAGCCTTTCAATAAGCTGTGCTGAGAGTTTACACCTATTCCAGACTTTTTAAAGACGCCATTTACTAACCCTCAGCAAAAACCAGCTTCATATTTTTCTTGAAAAACAGTGGGTACTTCCATGATTTCAAAGATTTCATAGACATCAAAGAGCTCAGAGGGACATTCAGTTTATGGGTAATGGTTTAAGGTTTAGTGAATCAAAAACACATGGATTAAATTTCCCTTAAAAGACCCCTCGGTTTAAAACTCAAAGAGAGAAAATGCTCTGGCTTCAAGCTAAGCCAAAACTTATTTTTAAAAGTCAGTTTGAGTTGTCTTATGGATCGAACACTTGGCTGGGCTTTTCTTTCCCACGTGAACAGGCCTCAGAGGAGATGACTTAGCTCTCCTAATTCTGCTACACAAATTCACTCCACCTCTCTCTCAGAGTTTGGACGACTACCTGATGTCAACGGTCAGCAGTTGGAATCATTTTTGGATCCCCAGGTCATTTTGTTCTAATATACAACTTCAAAACTGGACCTGAGCTCCTAGGTGCTATCTCAGATTGCTAACTAGCCGGCAACACAGCGTCATTTCAAAACAGGAAAAGGGCTGTAGTCTTAATATATGCACTGCTTTATGGTGTATGATTATGTTTGTATTTAAAATAGTAGGAAAACATACAGTACATAGTCTTCCTTTCTTACACAATGGCCTTCCGGAAGGCCGCTAGCCTCAGCACTTTAGCTAGTGTTTAGGATTAAAGGAAACAGGTTCGTACATAACCTATGAGGCTTTATTCCTTTGGAAAAGCAGATTGCAACATGGAGCTGATTGCTTTGAAAGGGCGTGCAAAGCCAGCAAGGCACTGCACGTTTTGAGTTTTAATAGCAGGGGGAAAAAACAAGGAGGGAGAGGCTCAATCAGATCCAAAATAAAGAGCCAATACTCCAAGAGGAGAGCCTCGTCTGAAGGGGCGAACTTGGAAATGAAGTTCACATGCAAAGTTATGATGGATTCAGGTTTCAGAAAATGAGTGCCTCAGTGTAAGAACGAAATAACGAGATTATCCTGTTGCTTAGAAATGTCCACAGCCTGATGCAAAGCATGTGGACTGGTCAGTTTAGAGAAATACGTTCTAATAGGTGATGGATGATAAAATAGTCTTTTCTTTTTTGACTTAATTTTCCACAGTAGGGACTTTTTCCCCTGAGAATTCTAGAAAAACCAAGTGCTCTGTTTAGAAGGTATTCTAAGATGATCTGGCTGTGTGTGCTCCTCCACTGGACAGTTCCCGAAGGAGCCACACCATGGGGCAGGGCACAGTTAAGGCCACATGAGGCCAAATCTAGCCTGCAGACTCTCGGTCCCTCTTGGAGGTGTAGTGCTTTAAACACGCCAAGTTAACATTTTAAAACTGGGAGCCGTGTGGATTCTCTGGAAAATTTACAAGACAGCCACCATGTTGGTTCACGACACCCAGAAAGGCCACGTGATGGATCCAATGATGGTTGCCAAGAGGTGACCGTCCCCTCTTGGGTGGAACTTCCGTCAGTACCTAGGAAAAATGGTTAGTTTTATCCATTTAAGCTACCTGTTTGCAAATCTTTATACAGGACAGGAAGAAAAGAGAGAGATCCAGTGTAGCGTCTTAATCCAGAAGGTAAGTGACACAGAGAGAGGAGCAGACTGGAGTGCTCTGCACACAGGCTGCACACCGTCAGCAGCTGCATCACTCGCCGCCACCCACCTGCCACCCTGCAAAGGACCAGCAATGACCACACAGGTTTTTACTGCCCACAGAGTCCGCTGGGCCAGGCTCAGGACAGAAAGTAAGAAGCCTTCTTAACCTACTGGGCCAATATCTCTAATATTGGACCTGATGAATGTAGAGAACTGACATGAATCATTTCCCATGTGATAAACGAAAGGTCTGGGACACCTTTGTATCTTCATCTTTGGGGCTAAAGCTATTGCTAGGAGGCACTATTTTTAAGAACACCCCACCTTCTAAATGAGAGACTGTGGACAGCTGTGCAGTGTGCAATTTCAGAAAAACACAAGAACCCAAGGGTAGTGTGGAGGGGACTCTTGGTGTTCACACGCTATCTCCTTAAGGTTCTGGCTAAGATCATCCTTGACGTGAGGCCCTTCCCACATCTCATTGCTGGATTTCCATCACTGCTCCCATCCTTCTTACCTGTGATAGTGCCCATTCTCCTTCACCACTAACATACAACATGCATTTTATTTACAGATTTCTTGTTTGCCTCCCTCAGCAGAAGAGAGTGTCATGAGGTCACAGTTTTGCAGGGCTTTATCCCCTACAGAAACATTGCACACTACAATTATGCCTAGTAGATGCTCAAAAGTCTACCAAACTCCCAGTCACATTTTTAGGAGAATAGGAGCTCGGCTTTCATCAGTGCCTGTGATGCTCAGGCCACATCTCACAACCGCTTTTCCTCGATGGCTCAGAAGTACACTGTCTGGTTTTCACCCTTAGGATATATAATTTGTATGGACCATAGGTTTTTACGGAATTACTATATGGCCCTGTAGCTAAGTAATTCGATGCGAATTAAAATGGAGAATAACCTGCATAAACAAACGTACTAGCACGCATCTATCCAAGCACAGAAAGAAATACATAGGCCTTTGCGATTCCAAAGTTGATTGTTCCTCATTTCACAGTGCTCACACCTCCTGTTACAAACACCACACGTGTGATTCTTCCCTCAATTACGTTTTATAGCTTATAAAAGCACGTTCTTCATTTTGTCCCTTGAAAAGCAAAGGAGTCTGATTTTACTGGGTGTTTTTATTAAAACAAAACCCAAGGGGAATATAAATGTTAAACAATTTAACACAGCTGAAGAAATATCTGAGAATGGGCTTTCTGATGGACAGGCAGATTACAAAGTCACTTATAGCTCTTAATCTGATAATGGGCAGAAGACCCCACACATATGAAGACAGGCTTTTTTAAAAAAAAAAAGTTAAGAGAAAAGTAAAAAAAGAAATTGAGGGGGGTGGCAAGGGTGGGTGGCCGGGTGGGTGGGAGAGGGGGTTGGAGACCGGGTGTGTTACCAGGGCGTAGAAATATTATACTCATCTTGGTCTCTAATCAGTGCCTCGGTGGAAAGTTTTGCTGGATCTAACCTCTGCTGTTTGCTGGGAATGGGCTGAGAAGCAGAGTGAGGCTCAGGCCAGCTCCCTAGTCTATAATGTGGAACCCTGAAAACCTTAAGATGAGCTGTGCTGAAGCTTCCTGAAATGAGCAGAAGCAGCTTAGACATCTGAAGGTCTTTGTATTTTAGTCTTTAGCAAATGAGATGACTGAGTGTCTTTTTCATGTAATGTTTCCTTAATAATTATGGATTCTAGCTCCATTTCGTATGTGTGCTATCTAGCTACACAATTAGACTGTAAATTTCTCAAGGGCAGATACATCTTATTTCCCTCCTCCATTTTTAGATATTCTCCTAGAACCAGCATGGATAATGATCACAGTAAACTTCTTTGCTATTTTTGGTGAGAAAAAAATGTGAGTTCAGTAGTGAATCAGTAAGTGTTAAGAACTCATAGTTAAAATGATTCTGAATTGATATTGGCCATGGTGCCTACTGCATATTACTGAGAGTTGGGTGTTATTTTGCACTGAGAAAAACCCATGAAACTCTGTCCTGGGGGCCCAGTATCAGACAAAAGTTGCAACACACACCAGTCAGGAAGAGGAAACTACTTCCCTTACACTTGAATTTCTGTATCCACCTTGTCCCTTAAGGGAGAGTGATAAGGACTTTAGGAGTCCTGGGCACAAACATAGTAGGCCAAAGGGTATCATAGGGAGGCTAGAGACATGGCTCAGCATTTAAGAACAATGACTGCTCTATCAGAGGATGCTCACAATTATCTGTAACTCCAGTTCCAGGAGATCTGATGCTCTCTGCTGGACTCCATAGGCGCCAGGAGCATACAAGGTGCACAGACAGACATACAGGCAAAACACCTGTACACATTTCCCCCTCAAGGGATAGGGAAAAGAAGTACAGATGGCTCTGGTGATGATCACTACGTGGAACGCCAGTGAAGAAGAAACCAGACAAGTGAGTGAAATGCGAGTGAAGCCAAGAGACAGAGATGAGAAGCAAAGGGGTGTAGAAATGGAGGGGATCCGGATGCGTGATTAGCCATGCCTGACCAGGGGTATGAACCAGAGAGTGGCACTTGGACAGTCTCACAGTGTCAGCCCTTCTGTGTTATACTCTTTGTTCTGAGAAAACCACATCTGAGAAAACCTTTACCTGCGGTTATTACATGGACTTGCAAAAGGAAATCCGACGAACTCTACAAACTATTTATTTCTATCAACAGCAGCGTCAATTGACTTTTTAAGTGTATTTCTAAGGGCAGTCCTCATTAAAACATTTTTTTAAAAAAAGTTCAAGACAAACCTGGGGGAATTGTTTACATGGTCTTAGAAATAATAAATTGTAGGTATTTGCCTTGTTGAGAAAATGGTTATTTTCCTCTCAGTGTAGACTTAAAAGTAATACCACGTTAAACTTTCCCATTAACTGCCTGCCACTAGTTCTCCTTTTTTATTTTACAGATTAAAGCTTGCCCTCAGATTCTCAGAGCCTGTTGTGGTGCATCCCTAGTGTAAACTCCCTGTTTCAAATGATCGAGAACAAAGCAGTCTGGGAAAAGGCAGCAGTTGCCTGATCATCCTCGACATGCTATAAATCCATCTTGTTTACGGTGAATATGGCTAAGTTAATAACTATTGACTAATGCACTGCTGAGTTTGAAAACTGACCACAGAATTTAAAGCACCTACGACACCCTTGTAGGTACACATTTTGGGTGCTATAAAATTTCTTATTGAAGATGTACATTACACGTGCGTTCTTTATCTGTCCAAATGAAATAAACATTGACTATATGACAACCTGCAATGGCAGAGCCCACAGCACCTCATTTCTGTTCCACAGTGGAAGTTTACACTTGAGAACAAAGCCGAGTATGCTTCCAGCTGGAGGGGAAAGCTATATACCTGTAAATAATCCAGGCAACATTAACAGTGTTCCCATAAAAGCACAATTTATGTCCCAGAAGCAAAGGAGAAACACCATGTACATCATTTTCAGATCATCTTCATGCAGAAAAAATTCATTAGTCAGCTATAATAGTTGAGCTGTAAAGGAAAATAATGTTCTTCTGAATCCATTTGCATGGCAATGTGTGTGTGGCTGGCTGTTGGAAGCGACAGAATAAACCTCCACCCAATGCTACAAAATGCGAACAGTCTTCTTAAAATTCCGTCTATATTCTCTCCAGTTACAGCTTTTACAATCTCCTCATATTCACGGACCGGTTTTAACTTGGCAATTAGGGACTCCTGATTCTTTTGCCTAAGAAAGTTGACAATATTTCACTCTGCCTCTGAGCTGCTTTGAACACAAGCCTCTGATAAGGCGAAACCCACTGGACAAGCATTCATGCGTGAGCCCCTGGAACCCTTGCCAACTGCCAAATTAGCAAATGGCTCTCCTAAAACATAAAAGGTAGGAAATGGGAAACCACAGTTTGGAGTAAATTCTGCATTGTACTTTCATTGGTGTTTTAATAATTATACCGGTACTAGCCAGACCGCCTGACCTCTGCTTATAATGTATTTCACCTCCACAGAGTCCCAGCAAAAAGATCAAGTAGGATCAAAAATGATGGATCACACACTCAGCGTGTTTGCCAGGAATAAAAAATTCAGACCATCCCAGGAACACCTGCCCTTTAGAAAGACCCCCCACATGCGGCAGATAAAGCCGGGCTGGGAACAAGGAAATAGCTGAGCTCAAACCTTGCAGGCTCCATCACCCTGGACAGGGTGACCGGATCCCTTTTGTAAGGGCTGAGTCAGATCGCAAGGGTAAAACTTGCCGAGCCACAGCGGCCCTAGAGCACCCATTGCTCCCAGCGCCCTGAGTCACACAGGTGGCCGTCGACAACACTCTCCTAAGGCGACAAGCTCAATTCTTGTTTGCACCTTCCCCGACCCCATCCCTTCAGTTTCCCAAGCCCCCGAGCTCGCACCCACCTCGGTGGTCTTGCCCTGCGGAGCTGCAGCCAGTTCCCTTAGCGGAACAAAGAAAGCGGAGGTGCCGGGAGAGGGTTGGGTGCTGGATTGACGCGGCTGGAGTTTGTACCTTGTGGTGCCCGGGAGCGCCAAGTCAGCCGGCCGGGACCACCCGCGCGCTCCGCCCTTCTCCGGCGAGTCAGCGGTCGCCCAGCATCTGGCTCCGCACCAGGTCACCCCGGCTCGGGGAGCTGCGGGCGCCGAGGCTTGTCCGGGTCACCTGCGGCCCGGGCCGAACCCCGCCGAGCGCCCTCGGACTGCTCCGCCCCTTCCCACACGCGCCCTGCCCGGCCGGTGACTCAGCCGGGCATTGGCGCTGCCCCGGGCGGGCGCGTCCGGGCTGGAGGCGAGGAGAGACCCAGGCACCCGCCCCAGCACGTGTCCGTTCGTCCCTGTCGCTCTCGATCTGTCCCACCGGTCCCTTGAGGGGCGGAGGTAGGGGACTGGCGGCACCCGGGGGTTGGGGGGATGGATGGGTGGGTGGGGACGGTCTCCGCCCTTCCCGCCACCCGTGCGCCTGGCCCTGGGGGGGGGGGTCGCTCTTCCACAAGCCCCGCCCCACCCCCCCGCCCTCGACAAGGTGAAACTTTCTAGGTGGCGAAGTTTCCCTCTCCCGGGCTACGCGCTTTCTCCTCCTTCCCCGGCTCTGGAGTCTGAAGCAAGCCCAGCGGGAGATCAGCGGCCCCGAGTCTCCCCCTCCTGGTGCTCCGGCAGCGAGTGTCACCCGCGCTGAGCGCACGCACAACCACACCCCCCCCCCCCCATCGCCCCGCGGGGCACCCGGGGGATGCAGCCTCTCCCACGCCCGCGGTGGCGGCCTCGCTCTCACCCGCGTGGACAGAGATCTGGGCGCCCCTGAAACAAGGGGCTCATTGTCACAGACGCTGGTGGGAGTGCACGGGCGGATTGTCCCAATGATTTCATTTTGTAACCATTATCCCCTACTATAATAACTCTAGATTCCTGGAGGAAGAACCCCAGGAGTTTAAACCCAGCAGAGGCTTCCTTTTAACTTTCACTTTTTCTCATAGCCGGACACAGGGTGATTAAATAGACAAATAGCAATCAACAAAACCAACACGGAAGTTCAAGTCTCGAATATTAAAAACTCAGATTTTTGAAAAGGATTTGGGGCAATAGTTAACTTACGAAGGTTTGCGTTTATGTACAAGAATTCAATAAGGTGAAAGGATTTAAGGAATCCACTGTCTTTTAGGGTGCCAGCTCTTTCCAACTGTTGTAAGAGCGGGTTTGATAATGGAAACAGATATGGATCTGCTAGCGACCGATAATTACTGACAGCTACTATGCAGGTGCAGGTGGCCCCACTACACACAGAATGAAGACTAGGAAAGTAACACATCCTTGTCTCATACATTTCCTATTACTGCACTATGAGCCCCGTATGTTACCAGACACTAGACAGAGCTATTTCAGTCCCCAGAGCTGTTTACCTCACTGCTCCTCAGTTTGATGGAAGAGGAAAGTTCCTATTACATTTTTGGAGTCCCGCACGGACTCATTTTGCAGATGAATAAAACAGTTCCGACAAGTTCCTAGCAAGGCCACACAGCTTAAGAAGCCCAGAGTTAGAACAGAACTCAGTTCTCTAATCTCCTTCAAGGGTCCACACTATGTCCAGTGGCTCCAGCCAGGCAACTGTGATTCAATACGGCCCTTCCAAATATCATGTGTCATTAGTGAAGGCAGGAGCTCATTCTAAAACTCTGGTGTTACTGTCTACAGGACACTGGACCTTTAAAAAGCCATCTTGATTAGCTTTAAAGTTTATAACATCTTTCAATAGAAGGTGTGAATAGATGAATTTTACACACACACACACACACACACACACACACACACACACAAAGCCATAGTTGTCTAAATGAATGATTAGAGTGCTGTTTCTATTTCCTGGTTTCCATAGCAATATGTTAACTGGATTTTTTTACATCACATGTAGTTGCCTTAACAGGTTTTCTGAGTTTGAGTGCTATGATAAAAATAGAAAAACAGAACAACAGCAACAACAAAAACAATTAAAGTTGTGTAAAGACCCAGAAAAGGCAGTACAAACAAACTGAAAAGTAGATTATACATGCAAGCAAGATATTATGTTTCTCAGGACTGAATTTTTCTTGTTTCTACCCAAGAACAAATTTTAGTTCAGTTTTTAAACTATGTTGAAATTATTATTTTGATTTATTAACCATAAACCAGGAGATAATAATTTGTAAAGGGAGCTAAGAATAACACAAGTAAAAGGATGACTTTGAGCAGTGTGTAACTTACACAAGCCCTGGACTGGCCTATTAGGAAAATTATTTCCCATCTTTAGAATGATGGCAGCAGGCACTTTCTCAAGATCGCAGGACTTCCACAATTCCATTCTTTTGCAGCGGACTAATCGTTCCTTGACTTTCTCAGGCTCTGTGGCATGGGTGACACACGGTATGATGAAGTGCTGCTGGTATTTTCCTCACCAGACCAAACCACTGTGGCCAGTACTGTTGGCTGGCTAAGCCGGCACCTGTTCCCAAGCTGACTTCCCTTCCCTGTGTTGCCCCCTCAGGCTTGAAAGAAAACTTCCCAGAACCCTTTGCAGCCAGCTATGGCTGTGAGGTGTCTGTCACTCTGGCGATGAAGTACAGAAGAAATCCGATGCTGCCTTTGGAAAGGGGGTTAATTTCTTGCTTAAAGGGGAAGAACAAGCGGGTGCCACCTCTTTTCCTTGCTTTCTGGAATTCAGAGTCGGTGTCTAAAGGAGAACTAGCCATCCTGTCACTATGAAAGAAGTTGATGCTAACACTGATGCATACATGCTTTCTCCCAGATTTCATGTCTGTGGGAAAAGCCCTCCAACCAGACACTCATAGCCAGGGTTTCTGGCACCTACGTCTTCAAAGAACTCAAAACGGATAAACCCTTGAAATGGGGAACAAGGTGTCCTGTAAACTGTTTGCATAGTACTCAGGAATCAGGAATTCAGAACCGTCTCTGCTTCTAGCTAGCTAACTGTGGACTAAATGAGGGTTCTTATGAGGATTAAACACAGAGCCAGTGTAAAGCATGGGTCCCAGAGTTTGGCAAAAGATAAGTAGACAAAAGACCTGAATTCTCCTCATCTGTGTGTTTGTAGACAACACACAGAGCCAAGCTGTTAAGATTTTATACATCAATCTTGGATTAGGCCTAATGGTAGCTTTGGTCAAGGGAGATGGTGACAGCCATCTCTTGCTCTAACTATGCTACATCCTTTCTGTCCTTTTTTTGCATATATCAGAATTTAGATCTTTAAAGATACCCTCAAGCTCATTGTTACATGGTATGCTTTTCGAAATAAAAATGGAGGTAATTTCCTTAGAACAAGGACTATGCCTTGCAAGTTATGAACGGGGCACACACACACACACACACACACACACACACACACACACACACACACACACGTAGGCTTATAGGAAGTTATTGTAGCTTTTTTGTTTGTTTGTTTTACAATGTAAATCACGGTAGGAAAACTGTGGGCTCTTCAGCCTCTCACCAACCTGTTATCATCTCCTGTATGGCATGTAGACTTTGGCTCTGGACATCATGTTCTGGTGTCAGCAGTGGTAGTAACCATGACTCTGGCCTCCATGTGTTGCTTCGTGCATCCCTGTTCCTTATGTTCCACACCTCCCCTGCCCTGTCGTTTCTGTTGCTGTGTTTAAAAAAATGTTTATACCAAAACCAATAGGACCATGACTCCTTGTGTTATTTCTGAGAGTAAATAAAATTCAGGAATATAGAGTTCCTATTACCTTTTCGGACACATATTTTGCACAGTAGAATAGTAAAAGTTCTGAAAATTCATGTGTGAGAAAAGAGAGCAAAACAAAGAGAAAATCCCTCTTAGCCTCACTTCCCCCACCATATTCCAAACTTAGTTCACTGCAGATTGCTTCCTTTGCTCTTAATATCCTCAGAGGCAATTTCCTATAAAATTACTTCACTAGATAACATATTTTGGGAAACTTGACTTTAAAGAAGAGGCAATGCCAGGTAAGCAGAGGGACAGACGGCTATGCCTTCAGTTGTGGATGGCAGTGGGAACTGAGCCCTTTCAATACGAAATGCTTCAGAGTGGCTTTGCATTGGTCATTTACTGATGTCTGCATCTCTAAAAATATCCCCTGTTAAGTCATCTAAGGATATGACCGAGTCTGTTCAATACTGAGGACAAAAAGACTGCTTGGCGACAAGCTGCAAGTGTCACAGTTTTAACCAGAAGACTGAGCAAGCTGTAGGTAGAAAAATTCAAGGTGAGAATTTCCAACAGGGTGCTCACATTTTGTTGGTGGTTTGAATTACTCATTTTAACGTAAAGATTCTGCCTCTGTCGAGCAGAGGTTTCATTTCCTAATAGTCCTCAATGTATCTGTTGCATACTTGGATATTTTTTCTTGTGTCCTCATGGTAAACTCCAGACCATGCATCATCCTTGCCTTACACTTAGGAAATCAAGCCTCAGAGAGCTCCTGTAGCCTATCCGAGGTTACACAATTGGCCTAAGGCTGTTGTTTTCATGACTACGCTTCCCACTGTAATGAATAGAAACTGTGAGGATGCTGGTGAATAATGCAGCCATTTTACTCCGAGCAGCAGAGCCTACTGTTTCTTCTTAATTTCCTTTCTTCTCTGGCCACAAAGTCAGCTGCAACCCAGGACGAGACCAATCCTCTTCCACTTACCCGATCCTACCGGGCTGAGGTTACAGTTCAAAACAAAGGTGCTGCTGGTTCCTCTGTGCTGTCTGTCTGAATAGCACTTCACAGGCTGGAGCAAAGGTCCTGGGCAGTCAGGACGGGGGCAGAGATGACTTGGATGTGTAAAAGAAAAGGACTGTTTTCTCCCACGCCTGTGTTTCTACAACTTCTGAGTTCTCCTTGGGGGGGCTGTATTAGTACATTTTCTGTTGCTGTGTCAAAACACCTGAGGGGTCCTACCTTATAAAGACAAGAGCTTGCTTTTTAACCAAAGTTCAGGAAGCTGAAGCATCAAGACTGGATGGTCTCTTGACTTCTTGCTTCTATTAAGTCCAACAAAGACTTATTGCTACAAGTTATGAACAGGGCTCACAGACACATGTAGGCTTATAGAAAGTTATTGTACTTTTGTTTTTACAATGTAAATCATTGTAGGAAAACTTTGGATTCCTTGAAAAAGCCCCTTGGTCTGTGTATCACAACATGAGGGAGAAATCCACAGGGATTAGACATCATGCAAAAGGTACATTAAATACACAGTATGGCCCAGTTTATAACAAGCCACTCTCAAGAGAATTAAGTCACTCAGTAACGCCAGCATCAATCCCTTCTGGAACTAGTGCTCTAGTAACTAAGCACCCCAGTGAAGCCATGCTTCCCAAAGGTTCCACAGGGTAGCACAACCACCCTGAGACCAAGTTTCTAGTTTATGGATCTCCGGGGGACAAGCTACAACTAAATCACAGCAGGGGCACAAGGGATGTGGGAGAGGAAAGGAAGCAGCAAAGGGCAGAGTAGGAGTCCTTACTGAGGGAGTCTCTGGGGAGTCTGCCCTCTACAAGACCGGACATGAATGTCAAGACTTGGAAAAAGCCCTGGAAAGAGGCTCCCATAATCCTTTCTCCTGTCAAGACCTCCCACCTCTAAACCACAGCCACTTACTTTTCTTTTACTTTGTGGTAAATTGATGGAAGTGTTTTTGGGAAAGACTGTTTTCATTTTTATCCAATTCAGCACCACAGAATGGTCATTTCTTAATTAGCCCATATTGCCCATCAGTTGATTTAAAACTCAACCCTCATGCCTGGCACTAGAAGTTTAACCTAGAACCTATCTATGCCTGGGAATGTATAGCCTCTAAGGGAGAACATCCTCCTCTTACTATTTTGCTAAATAGACATAGTATTAAACTTCTTTCTAAATACTAATTAATCTTTATTCCCAAGGAGTAGTACAGCTTTTAGACCTTATCATAGAAGCTCTCTCTTTTTTTGCATGTTTTATTTTTAATTAAGAAATTTTTTATTCATTTTACATACCAATCACAGATCCCCCTCTTCCCTCCTCCTGCCCCTCCAGCCTTCCCCACCCCAAACCCCTATTCTCTCCTACAAGAAGGCAAGGCCTCCCATGGAGAGTCAGCAGGAAGCGCTCTCTCTCTCTCTCTCTCTCTCTCTCTCTCTCTCTGTCTCTCTCTCTCTCTTTTACAGTGGTCAAACAGAGGTCAAGGGACAGAGAATAAGTGCCTAGGGAGCACCCAGTCACAAAACCCACATTCCACACCTCCTTTGCCCAAGGCTCAGGGAACATCGTGGAAGATGGGTGCAGAAAGATTGTAAGAGCTAGAGAGTAGGGAGGCCTGCCGCAAAACAGTGTATTCTGGACATGATACAGCTGTTGTACTCGGGAACTCACAGCAGCTGAGGTTGCTCAGTGACTCCCACAAGAGCCACACAAAATCAAGCCAGTCAACGTTCCAGCACCAATCTGGGAGGACTCATGAAGTCCCATCCCTAGCAAAGAAGCTATTGGGTGTTGATGGCCGCTGGAGTGAGGGGGAGTCAGTTTTCTTCAGTAATGTAGCTCCTGGTTGCCAGTGCTCCAGACAGTGTCCTTACACCCATGCATACATAGGCAGTGCTACCTTCATGGGCTGTTATTATTATTGTTAAATGAAAAGAACGTGAAATTGGGGCAGCGATATGGGAAGATTGGGAGGAGTCGGAGGTGGGGAGTAGGGTGGATATTAAAATACATTGTATGTACAAAATCTCAGACATTTAACAAAAGAAACAATCATTTAAAATCTCAGTACTTAGCCGGGTGGCAGTGGTGCACTTAGCCGGGCGGTGGTGGCGCACGCCTTTAATCCCAGCACTCGGGAGTCAGAGCGAGGCAGAACTCTGTGAGTTCGGATCTCTCTGAGTTGGTTTAGTTTAAGAAAATAATGTATCAATAAAAATAAATATGGGGTCTGGAGAGACATTGAAGTCCTTCCTGCGCAACTGAGAGGGCCTGAGGTTAGACCCGGGTGAAAGGCTGGGTGTGGTAGCATGCATACACTTACATTCTTTAACAGGGGAGTAAAAGAGAGGCAGATACTTGGCTTGTTGGCCACTCAACCTAACTGAATAAGTGAGCTTAAAATTCAGTGGGACCCTTGGCCTCAAAAAATAAGGTCCAAAACAATTGAGGAAGAAATCTGGAATCAACCTCTGCCCTCTATATACAGTGCACCCACCCTCCACACAAATATGTATTTAATTTGTGGATGAGCATTTATTTATAGTTAGTCTTTTAAAAATGTGTCTCTGTGTGTCTTTGCATAATTACTGCAGTTCTAGATTTTATTGCTAACACAATGAATATTTGGGCAGTTAAACTCCCAAGGATCAGTTTCTTCAGCTACAAACATGGTCTTACAGCCTGATGAAAATGATTTTTAAAATACTAAGTTCCAACCAAAATTTTATAGAAACCACCTCATGTGGAGCAAATAGACCAATTCCTGTATGAATTCTATTGAGTACAATGAGAACTTCTATGAGAAATAAAGTACTTCAAAGTATGGTTCTTATTAACTACTGCACAGTCCAAATATGATAAAATTACCTTTTCCTTCCAATATAAATGATTAAATAATCAACTTAGGGATAGTATATTTGATGAGTCCAAAAGTAAATTAGGCAATTCAGAAATGGCTACAAAATTGAACAGTTTAAGGCGAATTATGTAAGTCTTATGGAATTGAAAAATGATAGAATGTTTGGTTAGGATTACTGAAACTAATACACATGATTGATATGTTCTGAAATGTAATAAACATGGTTGTATTACGAAGACTTTCCAACACTTTTACACTGGCAAGAGTTTGGCCTTTTGCATAACAACCTTAGAGTGTAAACATAATTACTATTAATGTATACTCAAACCCACTAGAGAAATGGCAGTACCACTGGATTAACCTTGGGTCGCCAGTGATGAATTAGAGAAATAAGCACACAAGCAAGGGTCAGGAGCAGAAAGTTGGCAGTGATACAGTGCGTCCCGTTCACTGGCCTATCGTAAACATCCTTGCCTTTCCAACAAATCCAGCAGAACCCGACCAAACTACATATGAGAAGTAATTTGCAAACTAACCTCTAGACAAAACTGTCAGCTCTGATCAAAATCATCTGCAAACTTTTAAGCTTATGCTGAAGGAACTTTCAAGGAGTGTGTAACCTGAATTAGCAAAGACATCTTGTTAAATCTTTCCCTGTGTGTCAGTCCATCTGCTTTGGTCTGAGCTCCCCACGCGAGAGCTGTTATCAAGGACTGTCAGCTCTTTCACTGCTACTGGCAACAAATGGATCTGTCTATCTAAAGTTAAGGAAAACACATTTTCTGTGTTGTTACACATTCTAAAAACTTTTTGTAAACACTTATTTGTGAGTGTGTAGCAGAGTTTGTGTAAAGGTCAGACAGAATACAGCTTGTAGGAGTTCTCTCCTTCCACTGTGTGGGTCCTGGGGATCAAACCTGGGTCATTAGGCTTGGCATCAGGCATCCTTATCTACAGAGCCATCTTGAGAGCCATATTGTTCTATGTTTTGATGACAGACCGAAAGTGTAAATAGCACCAGTGAAATTGATATTTAGAAATAATCTTATCAATCTGATCAGTGAAATCATGTGATTTATATTGACTTTCAGTATTTGTTCATTTGCTTTTATTGAATTACCCCCAAATTAATCAATTTTTATAACATAAACCTGTTTTTTATGGGAAGCATAGCTTGTATTGAAGCAGCTCTAAATATGGAATAAATTACCTAAACATATCAAATCTTGAAATACATCAAGTAGGTTTTTATCCAAATGT